TCTCTCTCTCTCTCTCTCTCTCTCTCTCTCTCTCTCTCTCTCACACACACACACTCACACAGAGCTAATTTGCTCGCTAGCGGCAGCTCCTCAATTAGCGGTGTCGCTAAAGGTCCCTCTCCGGCCCGCCGCGCCGCCGCCGTCGGGTCCACAGAATGAAGAGGAGGAGGCGAGTCATGCAAATGTGATGACGGCGTCCCTCTTCGGCCGAGCAAAAGGCGCTGCTGCCGGCGCACCCGAGGAGAGAGATAATCGGGAACATGAGCGTTATGGGTTGGGGAAAAACTTTTAAGTTTCGGGAATTAGTTCGTTAAATTATGGGCGAATCCATTTTGTAATAATTATGAAATTATTATGTGTACTTTTCTACTCCGTACCTTTTTACCTCTCTTTCAACATGATTAATTTTTGATCCGCTGATTTTATGATAACTTTGTTAGGTTTTGTTCATTCGGGAACACTGATTTTTTTTTCTGTAGTAATGTGCCCCTAGGAAAAATGTCAGCGAAATTGTACTTGTGATCTCGGGTTGAAGTAGAAACCAGGTTAACTGTGAAGCAATTTTAAGACACCATTTGTGAAAAGGCATATTGCAGTTGACAGAGCATACAGCATTTTCACAAAACGGTATAAGCGTACAGACAGACAGACCCACGGGGGCGGGCGCGAGGAAGATCGCTGACGAGAGATGGCAGAAAACGGTTGAGGAGCGGATGCATAAAAGCGGTACTCGAGGAGGGGAACACACCACCGCACCGGGGACAGCGGCGGGCGGTGCGCGGACGGAAGACCCCTGGGTGGGTAGCCCGCCTGGCCCGCCGTACCGGGAACCCGTGGTGTTGACGCTGACACGAGATGGTAACAGACACTGTGAGAAATATATTTGTACATGTACGATATATTTTGTAATTTGCCATTTACAATACGAGTCGTACATGTACAACCTCCCGTTGTCGCTAGATATTCGATTCCAAGTCGATACATAGGGCTAGTAAATTGTACAATTTTAGATTGTACTTGTACGACTTCTTCCATGGAAAATTTTCCTGTACCCGGTACGACAATTTTTCACAGTGAGATGAAGTACGGGGAACACGGTGCACACAAAGCAAAATATATAGAGAAAGACCACTAGGAAAAAAACAAACAAAAAAAAACGAGGAAGTTAAAGGTCACAATTTAAATTGGTTTTTGTCTTGATAGGCGTCAAAATAGTGATTAATGTGGAATTAACAAATATAGTTACATGTTCAAATTCTAATAATACTCGCTGTATTTGATCCACATGAAAGATTAACCGTTTACCCTTGACCTGCTGAAGGTTCAAAGCAGGTTAAGTTATGGATAAAAAATAAAAGCGCAATACTATGTGCCCCATGATGATATTTTTAAGTATTAAAAAGAAGAGGTACGGTATAGCATAGAAGAGCTAGTTTCTTATTCACTTTGGATGGGGACAATTTCGTATATTTCGTAGCGCGGCGTCCCGCAGCAGCCCGTCCCATCGCATACTGCCGGGGGAGCCGTTCCCCGGTCGTTGTGCCCGTGCCGTGCCCACCGCCCCGTGGCAGGCCGCTAGACGCGTGCGGCACGGGCCGAGCCATTGTCCTGGTCCACGGCCTTGCGCGCCCAACTTATGCACTCCAAGCGGCCGCTTATTTGCTTCCCAACATTATTTTAGGCAAACGGTACGGCCACGGCGTTTTTGGTTTAGAAGAGCATGTTTCCAAAGAAAGTAAACTTGTAGTAACTTGGTACTTACATTCTCACGAGATTGAATACAACCGCGGAAAATACGCGGTACAGGGGGAGAGAAAGGCGAAATCACTTGATGCAACGCGCTATACGGGGCAACCGCCTGTCGCTATACACACCAGCCCAAGCGTCGTCATCACATTACGCCGTTATTGTGTCACATCTCGACGCACGCCGCGCTGATTTATCGTCCCATCAATCTCCGCGGGCCCGCCCGGGTTTATATCATCGGCGTATCGGGCTCATTTAGCGCATTATATGCGTCGCCCCTCGTGTACGTTTAGCGGCGCTATAAAACAATACTTACAAGAGGGCGCGCCTGTGCTTTTCGCTGCCTTTATTCCCGACCGTCAAAACATACAGAGCCTGCTCGGCAGCACCGGGCGGGCTCACGACGCAGTGTGGTCCGTACCGTTCAGCCAGCAGGCCATGGTCGGGCGCGTCCCGAGCGGCAGACGAGGCAGAGGGGCCTAACTGTGGCGCGAGGAGGGGGGAGGGGTGGGGAGGAGTCAAGGGCAGGGGGTTCCGCCGAGGTGCTCTTTTGCAGTGCACGGGCCGGGCCCGGCCGGGCCTAGGCACAAGAGGATCCTCTCTCCCTTTGTCTTTGACGCGATAAGGAAACGAGACGAGAGAGGGCGACGCGCAGTTCCAGGTCGCGAAATACGGGAAGCAGCCCTTGCGATGTTTCAGAGGGAGAGAGAGGGAGGGAGAGAGGGAGGGAGGGAGAGAGGGAGGAAAAGAGGGAGGGAGAGAGGGAGGGAGGAACAGAGGGAGAGAGAGAGGGAGGGAGAGAGGGAGAGACGGACGGAGAGACGGAGGGAGAGAGAGAGGGAGAGAG